AAATAAAAAGAAAGTGGTTGACGGCGGTTACTTGGATGGATGATGACTGTAAAATAAGATGGATGATTGGTCTCTTGTCTTAATGATCCAAGTTTTCTTTAATAAAATCCAAAAGGTGCCTTGGTGTCCCTTTAAAATGTGTCTCCATTCAATGAATCTTCTAGAAGTTGCCTCTTCAAAAGCCAATTGAATGAATTTTCATGTCCATGAGATATTTCCCACATTTTTACCAAGGGTTTCTTCAAACACCTCTTCAAAAATTTGTATAAATTCAATGAATCATCAAATAACTGCTTTTGGCGCTTAAGCGCGAGGTGTATCTGACACTTAGGCGCGAGCCTCTAGCGCTTAGGCATCAGACTTGGACGTTTAGGCACCCCAGTTCATTTTTGCACATTTCTTCATTTTTCTCCAAATTTGACCCTTTTTTACTCTTCTTAGCATTTTTTCATCCACTTGATTATACCTGAAAGAAAAACACAAAACCTTTTATTAAAGTGCAATATCTCAAAAATAGGGGCAATATCTCAAAAATAGGGTAAAGTGCAATATCTCAAAAATAGGGATAAAAATGTGTATAAAAATACTATATATTTTAGGTGTATCAATGGTTGTGGTAGTTCTTTGATAAATCCCCTCAGATGGATGTAGTCTCCCCTTAGTGTCTAAGGGATGGGCACTTAGTCGATGAAAAATGGCAGAAAAGTGAAGCCCCTCTTCCTTTGAAATTCCATATTATTTACTCAAGGATGTCATAGAACAATGCCCAATTTCCATAGATTTCCACCAAAGCAGAACTACCGAAACTCCGTTCATTAGTGTTGAAGTATCACTTTGGAATGTCGTAGTTTTGCTCGCTTTGTATGTGTAGTGCTTGTGAATCCCATAGGTGCCTTCGCTCCACTAAGCCGAGTGCCTAAGTGTCTATGAGTGGCACCTTGGTGCTACAAAAAGTGGAGTCATGATTCTACTCTCAGTCATGGAAGTGGCAACTATTTGGTGGGGGCACCTAGGTGCTCAAAAGTGGGTGTCTTGGCTCCTAATGTAACATTGCACCTATGCTCCTAGTATTTAGCACCAAGATGCCAATTACTATGTAGAGGCAGAAAAGAGCTTGTATATGCTAATTTTGAGTGTAGCTACATTTGCCAAAAAAGTGGAATAGCTAAGCTGACATTCATTTTGGAGTGTCCAAATGCCAAAAAGCTCCTTTAATGCCTTTAACCCATGTTAAATGTAAATAACATATAAAACACCAGGAAAAGCATAATTTATACAAACAATGGAAATAATGAAAAGGTGCATAGAAATAAAACAAAATTTTCACTCACATCGTAAGGCTAATTGCTCCATCATCATGATTTGCCACGATAACCGACACCAAATCGTTAGCTCACCACATTTGTATGAGTTTTCTTTGAAACATGCATTTAATTTCTGGATCTAATGAAAATGGTGGTTCACCACCAGAGTAGTGCGGACAATTTGATCAAATCTAAAAGATAGAATCAAAATAAAAAAAAAATTAAATATAGAAAACAAAAAAGTGCTTGAATTACTAAAAAAATATTCTAATATAAAAAATGGTATTCATGATCCAATTAAGAAGCCAAAATTTTGTTACAATAGTAGGGAAGTGTATGATTATGTTATCATAAAATTATTAGATTGATGAGTTAGAGCATTATCTCATAAGAACTAAGATACTAAGTACTTAAATTAGGTTGATTTTTTACTATTTAAATGATAAAAAAAATGGTGGTTAAATTATATATCAATATTAAAATAAAAAAATAAGCAAGATAAAAACTAATTACTAAATAATGGAGATTCCTAAGGTCAAAAATAAATCAAAGTAAGATCTAAAGTCTAAATTAACCTTGAGGAATTTGTTGGGTTATTTTTAATGGAAAGTGAAGTCGAAAATTTTATAAAGAGTCTAATTATAGACCTACCTTCTTTCAAAAGCCTATGATTGCTACTTTTATTCATATATTATCCCTACTTCACAAGGATAGATTAAATACAAGAAAAAAATATTCAAACTTTAGGAGATCACAAAAGAATCATCAAGATTTAGTGTAGTTATCTCTAACCAACAATTTACCATGGTATTTTAATTCAAGTTTGCATTTTGAATGGGCTTCTTAAATTATCAATTGGTCATCAATCAATCAATAAAAGATAAAACATAAAATAAAGGACATGATAATTTTCAAAAAGCACAAATTATAAGAAAAATATTTTAAAAAAACTAAATAAAATATTTGACAATAACTTATCTATATAAATGAAATTATATTTATGATAAAAGAAAAAAATGACCAAATAGGACATGGAATTTAATAGGAAGGATAAAAAAAACAAAGAGTAAAGAAACTAAGTGTGCAAGCTCTCACTCTCCTTCCGTTGCTCTAGCATATTATCTTTAGGATCTTCATAATAATGGCTATTTAGAAACCTTAAAAAGGTTTCTTCAAACCCCTGAGATAGCCCTTAAAGCTCTAAAAAACAATCCTCTTAAATCTACTTAATAATTTTCTTAAATAGTTCTTGAACACAAATCTAACATAAGATAGAACAAACATAAAATTAGGAAAAATTGTGGTGTTGGTTCCTCATTGGTGTTTAGGAACCAATTTTTCTATATTATACCTTGATTCATGCTAAATTTTAGCATTTATATTAGGCCCTCATCTCACTATTTTGGGCACCATCATTTAGTCTATGAGCACCTAGCTTAAGCATCAATGTGTTAGCGCCTAAGTGTCAATCAGGGCGTCTAGGTTCCATAAAACTTTATGAATCATTTATGGCATAACAAACTCGAATGGCTCTAAATGCTTAATTGTGCATGTTTTTCATAAATTTTTGAAATTATGCTCATCTCCAAAATTTAAAATCAAATCATTAATATTACAAATTTCATAAAATCAAGTGAAATTCCAACACACACACACACACACACACACACACACAATTCATGTGTAATGTTAATAGTAATACTTCATTTGCACTCAAACTACTTCAAAAATGTTAAAATTTAGAAGTGAGTTTTTTAAGCATTTAAATGCTTTAAATGAAATAAACACACATATAATAATTAATATTAGTCAAGCTATTTAACTAACTATATTTTAATATACTACTTAATATAAAATATATGCATATATAATATGAAATATTAATAACATTTTTATTATTGTGTTAAATGATTATAGATTATAGTAACTTCATTAAACACAAGGATTAGGCTTACCATATTAAGTTATAGAATTCTTAATCTAAGAAAATTAAAACTCTGATCTTCATAATTTTAGTAATCTAGTGAAAAACCATTTGTATAAATGAGAACTTATTTATAAAAAAACTAAACCCCAATTGAGAATGACATGTTTTATATTCTTATTATGTCTCAAAATTATTTAAAATTATAAAAGAATGATAGAAGTTTAGTCATAAATGATAATGGGTGAGATTTGTTGTATGGTTAGAGTACTTTAGTTTGATATATAAAAAATTTAGTATATATAAACCTATTATTTGATAATCAATACTAAAAATATAAAATAATAAATATTAGTGAAATTCTTGTGTTATTTAATGCATACTTTATTATATGAATTCTTACAATAAAAACCTTATAAAAATAATTGAGGTTGGATGGGACCATGTATCTCACTTGCATGATTAAGGGATTCAATAATTTAAAGAGGACTTGATGTAAGGTAAATGTATAAGCGCATTAATACAAATGAGTAACTTTTTGTCTTTTTTCTCCTTTTCACGTAGCTTGACTTCCAAGTTATTTATATTACTAGAGCAACTTAAGAAAAAAATTAGTGAAACATACAAATAAATACTTTAAGCTTTTCATCACACTGTATCTCACATAAAATAAAATCTTATTTGTTTTCTGTTAATCCGCTATGCTCTATTTTTAGTGAAGTAAATATTAATATATCAAAATAAAATTATTTTTCTCTTAATTCTTAGTGTTGTCAATTCATGTCTTTATTGAGATTTAATGGTTGGATGATATAAATTATTTGTGATGTTATCATTTAAATTAAGGATTAGATTATTACAAAATGAGGGTTGACAATTCATTTAATTCAATTAAGGTTGGAAAAGAAGAAGATAAATAATAGTATAAAATAAAAGAAGAGTTAGGCTCAAATTTGTTATTATCCTAAGTTTTTAATACTGGTGAAAGAATTCTTTTGTATAAGACTATATGGTATCAATAGATTTCATTTAAGATGACTTATTTCAATGTGTAGAGATACCTACTATTACTCTTTTAAGAATCACAATCATTTTAATTGTAGGTACAAATTTGTGAATTCCTCTTCATTTGACAAAAGTGGAACAAGAGCTTACAAATCTTTTCCTGAATTTTGGATATCTTTTACCTTCAATTATGCTCAACCAATGGTAGGGATATTCCCGCCATTGTCAAAGATAAAGACAATACAATCACACATATCATTTGATTGTTAACAAAATGTTTAGACCATTGGGCCCCACATATTCTTTATTAACTCATATCATTTATCCTATTTAGTACTACAATTATTGATCTTTATTAAGATTGGGTTGAGCAACCGAGCTGATAAAATGAGATCATTACTTTAAAGTATCCCTTAATTTTCTCTCTATGATTTCCAAATAGAGTTCCATCAAACAAAACAATGATCAAGCAATCATGAGATTTTTTTAGTTGAGGCATTGAGTGGGTCCTCTTTAGCCTATGTAATTATTCAAGGAGACAAATTCTTTAGCTTTGGAAAGAACTAAGCTTTGTTATACTAAGCTGTCCTTATCCCCTATCGGTATTTGTTCTACAATCACTCAAATGTAAATAGATCAACTTGATCACTCAATCACAAAGTAACTAATTAGTGAAATAAAAATACATGAATAGCTTTTTATTTTATTTATTTATTTTTTTTTTTTTTTTGTGCAGTGAAGTTTGAGATTGTAGGAAGCCGACGCCTAATTAAAAATGAAGAGTGAGCCAAGTCCAAGGGACTCGGGATCGGCCATCTTTTACTTTGCCCTCATCTTCGGAAACCCTAACCCTAACTCCTAGTGTGTCTTAGGAGCAGATACGCAGATCCGTCTAGGTTGTGCCGCTCTTTACGGTTCCCGACCGATCTTGGCCGTTTGATCGATTACGCATCGCAGATCGTGAGGGAGTGGCAGGAGTCGAACATGCCGTCGCACGCGGATCTGGACCGGCAGATCGATTATCTCAGGGAATGTAAGTTCCTTCCGGAGGCGGAGGTAAAAGCCCTCTGCGACCAGGCGCGGGCGATTTTGATGGAGGAGTGGAACGTTCAACTGGTGAAGTGTCCCGTGACGGTTTGTGGGGATATCCACGGCCAATTTCACGATCTAATCGAGCTCTTCCGGATCGGTGGAGAAGCCCCTGATACAAATTACCTTTTTATGGGGGATTACGTAGGTTAGTTTCCGGGAAGATAGTATCAAGTTTAGATCTTTACTTCGCCGATTTTTTCTTATTTTGATTGTCGTTTTTTTCAACTTGTAATGGATTAAATGCTCTTTAGGAGTTTTCTGTATGGACACTATTCCGCTGCTGATGTTTAAATTTTACAACTCGGATGAGGTTTTTGGTTAAGATCCAAAAAGTCAAATAGCTGTTTCTTAAATACAACTATTGGTATCACTTTTTGGTTTTTCTTTTCAGTTTAATTCATCTATATAAAATGATATCTGCTCGTTGGTGTTGAGAAGTAGAGGCAGGTGCTGGCAAGGAAACTAATTTCTGACATTCTTAAGTCGCCTTTGATTAATATCCTATGCATTTTGATATGTGCTTGGTTAAAAAAGTACTTTTGGGGACTGTTTGGTTGAGGTTTTTAATAGGATTTAAAAATGGATTTACCATAAATTTAGCCATATGTGTAAAGGTGTGCAGTTATTTCCGACATCTGCGTAAATCCAGATTTGGCTCTCTTTCTCCGTAAATTCTGGAGTTATTAAATCCGGTGATTCGGCAGATTTTGAAGAATTTAGGGAATGAAGGAAAAAGTTTCCCGCGGCACCCATTATTGCTAGCCCTGTTGCAATTTACACCGAAGCCTTATTTAGACAAGGAACTCGGCCTTGATCTCTCCACATAGCTCCATTTGTCTTCCTTTGGTGTGTTAGCCAGTTGTGCTGCACATTCGCCCCCCACCCCATCCTTGATTCCATGCTGAGAGGGCGAAGGTTAGCACTACTTCCTTTTCAGCCTTGGCTTTCTTCTAGCTGCCCCAGTTTTCTGTTCTGATTTGGTTTTTTTTTTCACTTGAAATTTGAGTTTATTCTTTTAGCTGCGTGTGTGATGTTGGCGGTATATCAAGATGTAGGTTTAATGAGATGAGAATAGAGGCATAAATACCCCTTAAATGCTGCTTTGCCACTTAATCTGATGTTAACGCCACAAACTGTGTACAGTTTGGCATGTAGATGGCAATGCAAATAAATAGATTTTGCTATTCACTTATGCAGTCCCTTTTAAGCCATTTTATTGATCTCTTTGTGCAGCTGAGTGCGTTACAACTGATTTTACACAAAACTAAACTTTATTTTTACAAAAAAATAAAAAAAATAAAAAATAAAAAATAAATAAAAAAAACTGAGTTAATGTAAGACAATGCTTTCAAACCAAGCTTAACATGTGCATTGATTGTCTGAGATAATATAAATAAGCAAATATTATCCTTAAAAAATGCATAAGTCTTACTTCTAAGTTATTGCAGCTTGTGGCAGCTTCCAATCATCCAATTTCAAGTATAGTAGGACATAAGATTTTTTCTAGAACCCCATAGCTCGTTAACCAAATGATACCAAATATGAAGCTACTTGTGATGGTGTTAAAATGGAGGAAGCAAAAATGCTAACAAATAGTCAAATAAAATGGTAATCGAAGTCTAGTACAAATGGTTGAAACGATTTTTTGCATTTAGAAATTAATAATTTATACGGTTGTGCTTCAGTTTTAAGGGATATTTGGTTCAAAGTAATGCAAAAAAGTAACTCAACTAAGCAGCAAACTAAACTCTTCAGACAGAATTATCATCGGTTAAACGCACTTTGCATGGTTTAGCTTTGTCAAGCTTAAAATGAATATTAATGTACAAATCAATTCAATTCACTAGCCTTAATTCTATTTTTTTTTTAGCCTAAACAACATCAACCAGGTAATCCCTTAGATGAAACTACAATCTAAAAACATTGATTTAAGGGGATGATATAGGAAATTAATTTATAACGATGAATGGAAATTGGAAATTACCTCATGTAATTACCATACTCTACCATTTAAAAAAAAACACTGAATAAGATTAGATCATAAAGCGAATTAAATCATGTTTACCTTTAGAAATTACACAGATAAAAACATATGATGTTCATTTAAGAGATTAGGAGCCACCAAGGTCAAATCTATGAAGAGGTTTCTATTGTTCATGTTTTACTCCATCAACTTAACCTTAAGCAAATTCTTTAAATAAATTATTAACTCAAACATAAAACTGACAACATAAAATTAGATCATCTAAATCTATTGCTCAGCTTAATATTCATTTACTCAATTAATAACTAAATCATGTTTTATAAACTTTTCATCTAAATTTATTGGAAGCACATGTAAGTAACATTATTTGTTAATGTAATTCTAATTTATTTAAAAGATTGTATTTGATTAAGTAATTTTTTTAATAGGTAATGAATGAAAGGCGTTGACCAAGTTGATTAGTTTCTTTATATCTAAGATGCAAAAGAGATATATTATTTGATGCATTACTACTTGGTTAGGACTCAACATTCTCAGTTCTTTTTTGTTTTCATTTGTGCCATTATTCGAATAATGTTCCCGGGAATCATTCGATTAAGTTTTCTGTTGTGACTTTTTTGGAGTTGTTTGTTCTTAGGAAGATGTTATTAGAGGCTGCTCTTTGTTTTATAAAGTTTTTTTTAGTAGTTACTTGTAAATTAGGTAGTCGATTACACCTTATTAATTTTGCTACTTTAATTAACTATTTTTTTTAGTTTTAACAAGCTTAATTTAGACTAATAGATTTTCTTTTTTTATCATTCAATATTTAATTAATTTAATGGAATACTTGTTAAGAACTTCTTAATCAACAATTGATATTTAAATCCTATTGAAACCAACCGACTTGAGTTTTTAAATGAGTTGCTGAACAGATGAAATGTATTTGACCTCAACGGTACCAAATAGTTTTTCAGGATTTAACAACATCTGGATTTGATAAATCTGGATTTACAGGTTTTACCCAATCCTATTTAAGCTATATCCTAGGTAAACAGTCCCCTGATATCCTGACTGAAAACTTGTTCTGGACAAATGATCGGCACACCCCATATTTATATTATTTTGTCTCCCTATCCCCGTAGCATGCTCGCATATCATGGGTTATTTGCCTCTTGTTCTGGGGATTAAGTATTCTGGATGCAGCAAAGCTTTGAGATTATAAGATTGAATGACATATGTGAGTAGCTATAGGAAAAAAATATCAGATCACTGATCATTCTAGTATAAAGCAATATGTATATAAGCAATTAAATGTCATCTGGTATCGAAGAAAGAAGAAATAACCCATAGGTTTGTTATGTATATGAATATGTAAGATGGTGGGAAACATTGATTCTGTTTTGGCAAAGGATTTAAGAGAAAACTCAGACACATGGCGAAAGAAAGTATACTCAATTTGGTTGCATGAGAAGTAAGCCGTGTGAAAATTTTGTAGGAAAGGGAAGTTAGTTTTTATTTTGAGTTTGGGCCAAGGATTTAAGAGAAAATTCAGAGGCATGGAGAAAAAAGTATACTCAGTTTGGTTGCATGAGAAGTAAATTATGTGAAAATTTTGTAGGAAGTTAGTATTTAGTTTGACTTTTGGCCAAGGATCTTCTGGTGGTATGGGGTTATCATGTTATTTAATCATATATTTCTAAGTCATTCATTTATTATATTTCATCTCATTATTAAATGAAATCGTGTTGATTGGTGCCAAAATAATAGAAAATGGGATTAAAGCTTTTTGAAAAGCAAATGCTTAAGTTTCACTCCTCAAGTCACTCATTTATCAAGTTTAAACTTATTCTTAAATGATATGATGTTGATTGTTGTCAGATTAATAGAAATAGACTGCCTTTTTAATCAAGTAGAGAAATGAAAATTTTTTAATTACGGAGAACTGCAATTAAAGCTTCTCCATGGTATTATTTATGCAAGCCCAATTAGGCTTTGTTTGAAAGAGCTTCGCTAGCTCCTTTAAACACCACGTCTGTCAAATGGAGAAGCTCGGTTGTGATCTAAAACAACGAAAAATTACTGATCTTGCGAAACAACTTCGGGAGATGCTGCTTCACCAAACAAAAGCTTTTTCCCGTGTCAACGTTCACTGTAACCAACGAAGCTTCACCGCCTTCTCAAACGAAGCTTCACCGCCTTCTCAAACGAAGCTTTAGTTTCTATGGCGATGGAGAAGTGATAGTATGCATAGCAACCTGTTGTGTGCCTCTTGAATGTTATTTGGTTGAGAAATGCAATTTGGCCTTTTTCAATTTGAAAAGATGCTTCGTTGGTACGAAGAGGCCGACATAACTACGGGCTTGATGAAGAATAAGGGTGTCCCTCTAATGCTTTAGCTAGATGATTATTACATGCTGTGATATTTTAATGAAATTGTGTTTTCTTACATTGTCATTCGTGTATTAACCATGCAAGAGATGCTAGAACATGGAATATTGTAATAACTGGATTAATCTTACTTGAAGATGGTGATCAGTCTAATATTGCTTTTCCCTTAAAGATGATGAATCCATTCACCGCCTTTGACCTTTTTTGATCTTCTTCCATTTTATCCTTCTTCATCTTTATTTTTCATATATTATTATTATTGTCACTCTTTATATCATTTTCTTTCTCTTCTCTTTTTTTTCCTTTATTCTGCCTTTTGCTTCAGTTTAACGTGCATGAGAATATCCAACAAATTTGGGAGAGAGGAGAGAGAGTGATAGAAAGAGATAATGTGTTAATAAATTTCTATTATTTTTAAATTTCATCTTCTCTAATTTCTTTTTTATCCTTTGATTATAGTTTTAGTTTTATTTGACTTATTGGTGTACTTCAACTCTCTATTATGCATTCTCATAGAAGTTTATTTTCAATCACCTTATCTTTAGTTGGTGCTATTCTTACATTCACCCTCGTGTAATTATTTTTTATCAGCCATTTATGGTTACACGCACCTATCATAGCATTATAATTATGTTTTGTTCAACTTTGCTTGATATCATTTTTTTATAGCCTATTGCCGAAATTCATATAAAAAAATTAGTTTAATTGTTGTTGGATCATGATTTGTCTATGGGGGTTACACCGCATTCTTACTGACCCAAAGGAATTGAAAAGAAACATAAGGAAGGGAGGAGCTGGGTTGAGGAAGAAAATTTTCACTATACAATCCAGAAAATCTAAGAGCTTCTCCTGAACCACAAACTTTGCTGTTTAGTCTATCTCCAACTCTAGGGCCAGCTGCAGAATCCGCCTTGAACCCAAGCTGGAGTGTTCATCTCCTTATGATCCTCCTGGGACAAATCCATCTTTAGGGTGTACATTTGTAGTTCTATTTTTACCTCACTTCCTTGCTATATTCATTTTAAGCATAATGCTTCTGAAATACTTCTTTAATTAACCAATCAACCTTAATTCTAGAGGTTAAATCCCCATATTTTATTTTTTTCGTAATTTCAGTTGAGATGTTACTAATTATTTTACTTGCTACTAGCATACACCAATGCACCTTATTTAGACTATCTTTTGTAAGCATCTTTGTAATCAATATGGAAGGAGACTAACTTTTACTATTTTTTATTGGCATAATCTTACTTTGTTTTGTAGCTCTTTTATTACTCCATAACTACTTATGATGCTACTAAATACTTCACCATACATATATTTAATAACTTCAACAAGAATTTTTAGATTTGGAACTTCGATGCTCTTTTTCTTAGAATTATCCTTAATAAATTGATTAACCTGAAGAATTTTCTGCTGTGCAGTGCCCCTTGCCTTTCTGACTAAAAAAATGAACATCAAATGTTATCCTGATAACAGCAAGATTACACAGGAAGAGAAATAAATGGAAGAGTTTAGAAAACATTTTATGCTTGGAGAAGGATTTTTTATCTCGTAAGATATTGTTGGTCTTAATTTATTTTTTGACCTTACTTTGGTTATCAAGTTAATAATGATATGGAAGGGAGGTTTAGATCTGAGAAGAGGGTCAGTCTGAAGTTATTTTACCTAGCTCTCTTTTGCAAGCTGCCCCTAGGGGATTAAGATTCAAGAATGCAACTTTTTTGACGATTTGGTTATCAGCTTCGCAGGGAAGAGGAAGGATGGAAGGTATGAAAGTTTCTCTGAGGAGAGAGAGACCATGAGGTTGTGAGTTGTGGCTCTAATCCTATTTTGGATCAGCTTTAGCTGAATTCTGTTTCTGGCTCAGCTATAGGATAATCTGAAGCAATTCACACGAGCTGCCAGGAATAGGCTACGGGTTTTGAAGTCTTAATCCTATTAAGTCAATCTAGTTTTTGGCCTACTCCAGAATTGGATTGGTCATTTGTATTTTTTTAATATTTCATTGCAATTTCTCCGTCAAATCATGCTTGCACTAACATTAAACGTTTATAATAGGATCCTCTGTTGCTACAAATATTTGCTCGCATAATTCTGGTGACTTGAGACTATCTTTATCGAATTGATAAAAAAATCATATTAAGTTGTATGTATCAATGATTAATGTTTTATGCTCACTTCCCTGGTTACTTTGTTTAGCTTGCTTTGCATTTCAAAAAAATTTCTTGTTTTTGGTTCAACAAAGAGATGACCTTTTTACTTATGTCATGGTTCATGAGTTTTGCTAGCTTATTCACAGTGCAGGGAGTTATTTTAATTGCATTCTATTTCTAGCTGGTACTTCTGCTTTTATCTTCTTTAATTTAATTCTCATTATCCATCACAGATCGTGGATATTATTCAGTGGAGACTGTCACACTTTTGGTGGCTCTGAAAGTTCGTTACAGGGATAGAATTACGATACTTAGAGGAAACCATGAAAGCAGGCAAATTACTCAAGTGTAAGAGCTTTAGTTTCTTGACTGCCAGTATACGCTTGTTCTGAGCTTAACTGTGGACGCTTATAAAATACAATGAGCCATAAAAATAGATATGTAAATTATTCTTGAGAGAGACTTAAACTTTGGTCAAATCAAGCAGTTTTTAAAGTATCACAGCTTGAGGAGCATGCCATGATTTCAATCTTTTTGTGTGGAAACATATTCTGTTGTATGACATTCCACTGATCACAGCACACATATTTTGACTCGTGATTTATTTTTATTGATTTGTTTTAGTTTATTTACTTGGCATTAATCCTCAATATATTTGCAACTATAATATATTCTGGAGATTCTTTATCGTTATGGAATTTAACGAATGTCTTAAAAGCTTTCAATGATCCCTTCAGTGGAAGTCTAGGTTCATGGCTATCTTATTAAAACATAAACGCCTTGTGATATACTTGAGCTTCCTCTATGTTAATTTTTTTGGTCTCATTTCAGATATGGTTTCTATGATGAATGCTTGAGAAAATATGGGAATGCGAATGTGTGGAAATATTTCACCGACCTTTTTGATTATCTACCCCTTACAGCTCTAATAGAAAACCAGGTTTGAAAATCTTATTTTCATAATCGAACCCAACTGTAATGCCATGCCTTTACATGTTTAGGTCTCATAAACTATTTGTTGTTGCAGATTTTTTGTCTGCATGGTGGCTTGTCCCCTTCACTGGACACCTTGGACAATATTCGGTCCCTCGACCGTATACAAGAGGTTGCTCTATTGCTTTTTCTAAGTAAATAAAATGAGATTTTGAGTTTTGCATGCTTTGCAATGAGCACTTCCCTCATTTATCTAAATGTGATAATGAAATCAGACTCTCTGATCATTTTCTACAATGTTGAGGAATGGGATTTTTCAATTGAATGCTTGTACTGTTTAATGTAAAATAGCTATGTGGTCATGTACTTGCCTGGTGGCAACTGCTACTTGATATAAAATAAAACAGTTAATTTGCATGAAGATTGATACTTCGATCACTGTCGAGCGTGAAGTAGCATCTTTTAATTCACTGGATTTAAATATTTTCTCCTCAGACCAATCTTTGTGCATGCCCAGAGCCTGACCACTTACCTCTACTTGGCTGTTGTCATGGAATGCAGCTTATCAGATTTCATCAATTAGTTTCTAGACTCTGATAGTAGAAATAGAGCTTTTTGGTATTAGTAAAACCATGGAAAGTACTATTATCAGTATTTTACCAATTTGACGGTCGTCCAATTCTACACCTAAATCTGTGAGATTGTGATATATATCTGAATCTCAGATCAGTATATTGAATACAAACGCGTGTGGTATGATGGAATCATCTTGTCCAAGTCATCCATTTTTTGCTCTCTACTTTCTTGTGCTTTAGAGAACTGATGGGTTGCAGGAAACATTTTTTTTAACGAATTAATGCATTTCTATCTGTTTTTATTTATAAGCAAATTCTGAAAATGCATTTGAATCTTAGGTCCCACATGAAGGGCCCATGTGTGATCTCCTATGGTCCGATCCCGATGACCGATGTGGGTGGGGAATATCGCCAAGAGGTGCTGGTTACACATTTGGACAAGACATTTCACAGTTGTTCAATCATACCAATGGCCTCTCTCTCGTTTGCAGAGCCCACCAGCTTGTAATGGAAGGTTTCAATTGGTCTCAGGTGTGTGTAAATTTAATATTTACTAAAATAATCTGTACCTTTTGGATGGGGATTAAACGAGAGCTATAAATGTTATTGGCTGCAGCTTTTGGTAACTTTCCAAAATATTACTCTTAAAATTTGAAGCACCTGAGTGAAATCTATTAGTTTATTGATCTTATCTTCTATTTTCTAAGGGCTCATTCTGATTTGGTGATCAAATGTCCATTTTTTTTCATTTTTGTAATTTCTGGCCGTGCAGGATAAAAATGTTGTCACAGTTTTTAGTGCACCGAACTACTGTTATCGTTGTGGTAACATGGCAGCCATTTTGGAGGTTGGGGAGAATATGGAACAGAACTTTCTACAGTTTGATCCAGCACCGAGACAGATCGAGCCCGATACCACCCGCAAGACTCCAGACTATTTTCTGTAATTTTGATAACTCAATACGTTTGGTAGGAGTGCTTTAATCTGCTACAAGGTGTGTGCAGTAATGAGAATCATCACCCTCATTCTTTCATGTAGAGTTTTTGCTGCTGCTGTCACCATTCCAATGTTAGTAGTTGTAGGAAACTGAGAATGTTATATTGTGCATTTTGTATGTGAAGAAATGATGAGGGAGCAGCAATAACAAGCAGAAATTGCCATTCTCATATTTTGGCTTTTCGCCTAACCAAAGAAAGACAACAAGATATCTATTTCTAGTGTATCTAAGCATTTCGTCTAAATTGGTCATCCTATGTCTCCAAGAGAAGCTTTCGTCCCCGTTGCCCATGGAGCGGCTCGTCTTTCTGTGGACTTTGCTGCATCCAACTGGAGTGCTACGTGAAATGCTTCAGGAAATAGTATCAGAATTGGTTTATTGATGCCAAATATTGTGGCATCTGTAAGTTGAGACTTTATTGATGTGTTTTAAGAAAGAATTATTGAGGAACATTATTTTCTTGATTATTCCAATAATTTGCCTTGATGATGGTTTTTACACTTTACCTGAGTTTGGACTGCTTGCTTCTGAGGGCATTCTGATATCTTAGTGGTAGAAGCAGCCATAAGAGCCATCTACTAAGATTAGGGTTTTGTTGGTCTCTGCATATTTCAATTTGGAATCTCTGCAGTTTTCTGTTATCAGTCCGTCGATTTATAGAAGTTTTTATAGTTGCCAGGCCCCATGGTTTCTTGACTTTTTTGACTTAATGTTTTACTCTTACAATGAAACTGACGTCAAGTGGGCTCAGGTTTTTGTTTCTGAAGCTACCACTTCTTAGAGAAATTAATTTTTTTGAGGGAGAAAATGTAGGGTGCAAGTGATTATCATGGACGTCCTCTACTCTTTTTTGTTATTAAATTTTATTTTTATACCATCTTGAGGCTTAGATTTGAGATTTGTTTGAATTTTCATTATTTAAAGAATGTTAAAACGTTTTTTTTTTTTTTATTTATTGATATTTTGATTTTTCAATGCTATATGGTTATTGGGTGATCAAATATGAATATTGTATTAATCGATATTTATTGATTTTGATTTATCACAAAAAGAAAAGCAAACATGTTGCCTTTTTTCTCATCTTAATCAATTTGAGTTAGGAAAATAATTCTAAACACCTTTATAAAGCTGCTTAACTGGGTTGTGTTACAATGAATAATACCTTCTAAATGGGAACAACCTGCTATCCTAAAAAAGAAAAATTACCATTTGCGCATAACCATGCCTTCTGTGGACCAATAAAATTTAGAAAGATTCACATACACATCACTCAATTACCATGTATAATTTTTACATGTGCCGCTTTACCTATGCATGAAAATATGTATTTCACGTTATGTAATATGAGAGATTTAGGTGGTATAAACATTTTAGGTATTGCATATATAAATATAGAGGAATTGGTTTGAGGGGGTGCAAAAGTGTAAACTGAATTAAACAAAATCCTATTCTACCCTAATCCATAACTTTTCCATTACATAATTCAAAATAAAGTAACAATTGAGATGATGTACCTAAAATTGTTCAAAACTTTAGCTGAAAAAGGAGAGAGAGATCATTATAATACATGACAGTGCAGGCACAAAAATTCTTACAGCAAAAAACAAAATAAATAAATAAAAGAAGATAAAAATGGTTCTCTAAGACGGGTTTAATACAAAATTACTAATTTTCAGACCATTTTAACGTCCCCATGATCAGTAGCCTGCTCGGTAGCTCGCCCGGGCAAGGTGCCAGCAGAGTAATTCTTTTACTGCCGGGGGACAGCGAGACAGAGATTGTTGTTACTTTTTAAAATATAAAAAAACTTAAAATGAACTTAAACAAGGCAAGGTGAAGGCAAAAAATACCTCTCAACGTCAATTTCTGTCACATAAAGAAACCCCGCAATATTGCTGCAAACAAAGTTGCCGAATAGTTAATGTAAGAAGGAGATGATTGTTCAGTCATAGACGCACAAACATACGATAGCAGAAATATCATATCATTATTTTCATTTTTGGAAAAAAAAAAAATCTATCCAATAATTTTAAATATATTTTTTAAAAAGAATATAAACATGATGTTTTTATTTCTTGAAATAATTTAGTCAAACACACGACATGATAGCACCCAACATAATTTTGCTTTTAGCATTTGTACCCCCATTATTTCACATCACATAAAAAATATCATCATTTTAACTTTTTAAAAAGTGAAATAAACATTTCATGCATAATAGATTAAGGTGGTATACATGAAAAAATTGAAGTATGGTATTAGAGATGTAAATAAATAAGAATTGAGTGGTAAGTAAATCTTCCTAAAAAAATAAACATACTAATAAATGTTTCTCACAGGTACATTGAAAGAGCAAGCACCATAGATTGCAATTACTATAACTTCATGATTTCAAATTGTTTGAATATAACAAGCACGTAATTAAACCAATCAAAATTACAGTCAATATTTAGGGTGCATTTGGCATAGCTATTTTGCTGCGGCACGGTACGAAAACGCGATTTCAACTATTTAGTCTGTGCGGTGTGGGTGCATTTACTTAAACACAGTCAATAATTTGCAACGTAGCCTTCACCACACGTTCGTTGCTTCCTTCATTTCGCTATTACCACAGTGCCGCCGCTTCAGTCTCCCATTCGAGAGATTGGGCAACCTAGGGCTTTTTCTCTCCCCCTTCTTTGTTCTCTGACGCCTGTGGCGAGGGAAACCTAATGTTTGATTCTTTTGATCTCCTTCGTCCTCCAATGTCTTCTACCCTTGTTCTCTATTTAATCTTCTACCCTTCTGTTTTGGTGGCTTTGCTCTCTTCGAGTTGTGGTATCTGATTTTATTTTCTTTTTGGGATAATTACATACATAGCACCCAAAACACTAATTTATTCTGTCCCAGTGACTTTTCTCTGTTTCGTTTGTGGTTTGCGCTTTTATTTTCGTTTTGGAATAATTGTATATATAGCACCCAAAACAATGCCTCTCGACAACCTTGCTCTATTCAGTTTGTGGTTTGCGCAGAAATCCCTCTGATTTTCGTTTTCATTTTTGGGATAATTACACATATAGCACCCGAAATACATTTATTGTTTGGTTTTTGGTTTTGCACAAGAACCCAACTGAAGCATTACGCGTGCGACAATTAAATCATTAAAAATTTAATAAAAATGAAAAATATGGATCATAAATTTATCATGAATTTTAATATTTGGGTGATAATTTGAAAAAGGTCTGAAAGAGGGCGCTAGATTTGTTAATAGCATTGTTTTGGGTGTCCATTTCGCTGTTTATTCAAACTTCTCTAAAGAATTGGCAATTTGTTTGCTATGTTGGAAGGAAAGGATTTGGATGTTGTTGTGTGTCAGGTAGTGTAACATTTTGTTTTAGGTTTGGCTCGTATTGCCCAAGATCCTATGAAAGGGGAGATTCAAGATGCAATAAATCTTTTTCCCCTTAAAAATCATCCTACATGACTTTATGGGGATTCATGAACACCTGTTAATATCATTGTTGTTTAAGCATGTTGGGATTCATCCTACATGATTTGGGGAAAAATTTGATTTGTGGTTAATATCATTATTGTTTGGGCATGTTGGGATTCATCCTACATCATTGTTAATTTCAAATTTTAAAAATCATCCTACGTGACATTATGGGGATTCATGAACACCGGTGCATGCCCCAAATCAAATTTTTAAATTTTCAAATTTAAAAAAATGCTACCTATATTTTTGTTATGAAATTTTTGGCGGCAGTGCTGGTAATTTTGTGTCGGTGGTATTGGTGTGATGGTGTGTTAGTGGTAATTGTGTGTTGGTATTGGTGATGTCTATGGTAATTGGGTGGTAGGGTGTTGTTGGTAATTGTGCGGTGGTGGTGTGTCTGTGGTAATTGGGTGGTAGTGTGTTGGTATTCGTATGGTGGCAATTGTGTGGTGATGGTGATAAGTTCGTGGTAATTGTGTAGTGGTGGTAATGTATTCGTGGTAATTGTGTGGTGTGGTGTGTTGGTGGTATTGTGCGGTGGTGGTGGTAGTGTGGTTGTGATGAGTTGGTAGTAATGGTGTGGTGGTGTGTTGGTGGTTATTGTGTTGTGGTAGTAGTGATGTGGTGGTGGTGCTGGCGGTGGCGGGCTGGCGGTGGAGGCGGCGGCGGCGGCGTTGGTGATATTGTGCGGTGGTGATGGTGGTGAGTTGGTGGTAATATTGTGCTGGTGTGTTGGTGGCTATTGTATGGTTGTATCAGTGGTGTGGTGGTGGTGGGTTGGTGATAATGGTTTGGTGGTATGTTGGTGGTAATTGTGTGCTGACGGTAGAGGTGTGGTGGTGGTGGTGCGTTGATGGTAATGCTATGATGGTGTGTCGGTGGTAATTTATATTTTCATAACTTAAATATTTATTATTTTTTTGCAAATATTTATGTTGCTTAGTTTTGTTCGTGCTAGTAGTAATAATTTCTAAGACAAAAGAAATCAATTTATTTGTTATGTGGGATAAAAATGTGAAGTTAATATTTTCCGATCTCTGTCTAAAGAAGATGGAATTGAGAAATAAACCAACTATCTATTTTAACAAGAAAAGATGATTGAATATTATAAAAAAATTCAAAGAAAGAACAGGAAGAAAATATGATAGAATACAATTGAAAAACAAATGAGATATGTTAAAAAAAGATAAGAAAATATGTAAAAAGTTAAAGCAAGGATCCACGGGCTTGGGTTGAGATCCCATAAAGCGAACCATTGATGTTCAGAAAAATGGTGGGCTGAGAGATCGAAGGTAAAAATTTAGTAAATGTACAATGCTTTTCTTTTTTTTTGTCAATTTTAATTATACCAACATATCAATTATCAATTAATTTGTAGGTTGTGCCAAATGCTAAAAAGTTCAAGTTTAGTGACATTGGCCCAAAGCTTCAAGAAAAGTTACACATAATGTTTGGTGGAGTCCTTGCCACAGGTAATCATGCTTGGGCACCAAGCGAGAGAGTGCACGCTAGTAGAGCAAACATACAAGTTTTCGATGTTCATAAGGATGAGGGAGAAGCAAAATAGGGGTACCTTACTGAGCGATTCAATTGCAAATATTTTGTAAGTGATGTCATATAATAACCATTAAAACATTCTCTAATATAGGTAATATAGTTATCCTACATAAATGCATAGATGTTTTATCTTTTTGTTTTATCTGTGTTAGGTTAGCTTTAAAGAAGAAGATGAACTACAATGTTGAATTTTCCTGTAGATCCCAAGCATTTATTCCACTTGGTAAGAGTGTGAAGTGCTTGAACATGAATACAGCCTTTTAGAGCTATTAATAGTTTGGATAAGTATTCAACATTATTGCAAGCATATCAACGTAATTCTCAATCCACACTTCTAACACGAGAGCTATGTCTCAAAATTTTCAAGAGGAACATGACAAGAATTTATTTGTTGTTATGTTATTCAAGTATGCGCTATGTTTATAGTGGGTGTACTTGAAGAGTTTGTAATAGTATTACAGTGGTCACTCTTTTTATGTACTGGTTAGAAACAAATATTAGCTTTTCTTATTATTTATTTATTTATTTATTAATTATCTCTGTGATATTTATGAGGTATATTGCTATATGTTAATGCTATCATACAGGTTTTTGTTTGCACTATATGGTGAGATGCTGTCAAAAGTCGTTTCAAGAAATGAAATCATCAACTTTATTCTCAAAATATTGTTGCATTTTTAAACATAAAATTTATTGGACAAGTTTATTATTATTAAATTTAGTAAAATAATATTTCTCATAAAATAAATCTTGACCATCTATTATAACATTTAAAAAATAAAGAATGCAATCATTTTTATCTTTTCAGATGATAAAACAGATCCACCGCAATTTTTATGAAGCAAGAAATTTGTTATTTACTTTATTGAATGCAGTAACCAAACCAAACGAACATTAGATCTTCGAGGAGACCAAGATATGACCTACTAGTTACCTTGATATAATTTGATCCGGCTCCTTTGCATATGAAATGGCAAGAATGGCATGAATCAATTCATAATTTATGTTCACAAGGGCGGCCCGAGTAGGATCTGTAATAGGCTCTGCACCAATAGGGAGAGCTGATCGAGGAGCTTGTGGGCCACCGTCAATTTTATATACAGATATGTCCCCATAATTCATACTAATTGAATAAGGAGACAATTCATTGTTGAGTCCATAGAAATATTCCTGCAAAAAGTTGGTTTAGTTGAAAGATAACCCCCGAAAAATGAAAGATATTGTACAGCTACATATAAACCGTGTAATCTTATGGGCTCCAACTAGTTGACAAAAATGTCCGACAAAAAATTAAAATTAAAAAAAAACCACCACCACATCTAAAGAAAGAAAAAAAAAAGATAGACAGAATAAAGATTAAACGAGAGTTTGCTACAACTAATCCAAATATGCAAACTTTCTCCATATTCTTGACGTTTACTGCTTTGACATTCTAAAAGTGGCAGGCAGCTTTGTTAAAAATTGCATAGGATGCAGTACAAAAAAATATTCTAGGAGTAGAGGTAGCCAATTTTAGACACCAAAAAAACCTTATTTAATTTGATGGAATTCTTTTGGGAGATGGGAGATAGAAATCTGTAAGCTTTGAATGAAAAAAGGAGCTTGGTACTATTCCAAATTTACTAAAGATAACTAGGAATCTGGGCATAAAGCTTCAAACCAAAAAAAAAAGGAGATTGTACTCTTTAAAATTAACTGAGATCACTTTCTTCTATAAAATCAGAGAAACGATGACTCCGAATGTAAATTGGAAGCCAATGCTCTTTTTATTTTCTTTCCTTCAATATGCAGTGAATAAAGCCCAACAAACTTGGTTCATTGGTGTAAATTTAGATTTTGAGTACCAATTAATCTAAAAACAGTTAAATCCCTACAGAGGAATTTTCTTATGCCAATGAATTTGATGTCTTCAAATGATAAACCTTTTCTAAATCGTATTGGGGATAATAACATTTTCTCAGATTTCATATTTTAATTGCCCTTGTTTCTCCAACAGCTAAGAAAGAGATGCCTCCCTTTAGGATTAATAAAAATTCAAGAACACGCCCTCATCAGAAAAAAATAACCGTATTTGATTATAACTTTCTTAGATCTCATATTTTTAATTTTTTGGTACAGGTATATGGAAATATTACCAAAAAAAAAAATTCTGCCTTTGGAGAAGAACTCTTACTGTAATGTCAACCTGCCTCAGAGCATCAAATAACCCCTCTCACTTACATATGGTAGGATTGCTCTGAATCCCTCATACAGGGAAAGAGCTGAAAGACTAATATTTTTATGCAGAAAATTATTTATCCACGTACATTGTGTTTTCTAGCTTCAAATGCAAGCTCAAGGTTATTGATGTTGATCTACAAGCAAAGAATAATTTGGTGAGCTAATTTGATCAAATTGTAATAAGATTTAATAATTAATCAAATTTGAAGAAATGCCTAGCTTATAATACTTCTGTTAAAAAGAAAAATGTCAAAATAATCCATGGAATATTTATTGTAGTTCATTTTACTCCATCTAATAAGTTCAATATACTCTTTTGACAACTCAAATCTAATCCAAAATAATTCTTGGACTCTTCAAAACTAGTCCAATAGAATGACTAATTTGAATCATATTTGCTGAATCATGTAAATAAATCAAACACATTATAATCTAGTACTAAAACAATCCGCATAAATAGTTCAGACACCACTTAACATTTTTCTCCTAACTAAAGCACTATTTCTATAGATATTTTTTTCAAATTAAATCCTTTTGAACTTATTCCAAATATATTTCTATATAAAAATTCTATTGATTTGGCGTCTTATGTAACCATTAAGGTGTTATTACAGCATGTTGAATGCATGAACAAATCATCTCAGATTTCATGAAATTCGTTAACATGCTATTTTTATGACGAAGATTAAGATTAATGATCTTGATTTGCGAATTGTATGGTGTACAATTGAAAAATAAGTTTGAATAAAGTTATATGAAAAAATATATCTATGCATAAAAAAAGATCATAGTGTGTGTGTGTATCTTTAGCGCTAACTTACATTTTAAACCAAATAATAAATAATCACAAGTGAGAGTTAGAAAAACACAAAGCAGCAGTCCCTTGAATTATTATTATATGAACTTGCGTGGGGTAAAAAAGAGATAAACATCATGAATTTAGTAATGTTAAACTCCACCAACCCTAAACAACTGCTTATTCCTTATCTTTCAATAACACTAAAAACTGATTACTAAATTTTTACCTTGCCCCATACATTGCTTCTTTTCGAAAGAATTTGACTAATTCCTGATTTGAAGCAGCCCCATTTTCACACTCATATAGCTACATCAAGTGTGAATTGCAACAAAGCAAGCCTTCTAAGTTTGAGAATAAAACTAGGCGAAAATTTATTATTTTCAGAATAACATGGAGAACTTTATACCAAATCTGAACAGAAAGAATGTAGATAATGCTAGCATAGTGGCCTCTAAGTCAGTATTGCTGTGCAGGACTGCATGTTCAGAAGGAGAACGGGAGTATATTTCAACATAAGAAGCAGGGTTGTATGAATTTCTTAAGCAATTAAAAGGGCCCTAAACAAGCGGACTTATATCAGTAGAATGGAGTCCACCCAATCTAAAATGCTTCAGGTTACACAATCTAGTTAGCATAGAAATAATATAATTCCGATCGCATAGTTATTGTACTAACATTGTTTAGAACTATAATAAGTCTAAAGTTGCATTTCAATTAATTTTTGTTGTAGATATACTAAAATTGCACTTGTTTGTTGATCTATTCACTTACCCTGATATTAAACCCCACTAGTAGAAGACATTGAAACAGCATTAAACTTAGATGCAAAGTTTAATGTGAGAAAATTAAGAAGCTAAGGTCTAGTAGGTTCTAGTATAGATCTAGTATATATTTTGAATTAAGCGATATATAATAGTTTTATGCAAGAGAATATGTCAAATTTCTAGAGAAGCAAGCTATTACACAAATTTTTACCACTTCATGAAAGTAGAAAACGCATGAAACCCAATCCCAAAAAAAAGATCTTGGGCTTCTAATAGAAATTAATATTAAGAAACTAAATATGTTTATATAAAGTTAGACAAGAATTATTTTTGTATAAAAAAGCCAAACCAAATTGCAGAAAATAAAAAAGTAATCAATCGCACTTTGAACCAATTGTAGGAAGATTGCAGAAATAGGGAGACCAAAAACATACAAAATAAAAGAGTGAAATAATTAACAAATAGATAAGATTCTCTCTTAAACAAAAATATTAACTCTTGAAATGCTTTTGAGAAGATAAATACAATTCAGAAATATAAAGGAATTTTATATGTGAAAAAGGACATTTTAATAATACCATAGAACTGTTTTTCTAAATGCCTCAAAACAAATTTAGAAACCTAATAGCATTGATACGAGTATGAATAAAATTTAGTCACTGGAATATAATCGTCAAAGGACAACCCATAAGGAATAGCAAGTTGAAGGAACAATCAGAAGAGAAGCTGCAGAAGATTAGAAGAAGAAAAAGAAAAGCAGGAACTGCAAAATACCAAAAAAAGCCCATGAGAACAGCATGGGAATAGGATGAGCACTACGAAAATACAAAACTAAGATCTAGTAAACAGCTTCCATCGAAAAGAGATTGCAAATACTTGAAGAAAAGCTTATGAGTATAATAGTTAACCCACCAGAATGTGATTAGACAGACACCTGACAATTAGTTAAGAAAATAAAGGAATAAACCTGGAAATACCAAAGAAAAATGTCAGAGGAAGAATTACTGAAGAATAGGATCCATGATTCCGATACAACAACAACAACAATAACAAGTTTTTATCCCACTAAATGTGGTTGGCTACATGAATCCTTTTTATCCATGATCGAGACACTGCCAAAAAAATTATGATGAATACAGACTACTTGGGCATGTAAGTACAAGGTCAACTAAGCAATTACAAGTCAAAATACAAAATTTAAATTTAAAAATAAAAAATAAAAATGGCCAATGTAACACAAACCTATTGCATTTTATATCTGGCACTATTTGAACTATTTGGGGTCTGAATTCAATTGTATCCCCCAAATCATAAGCATAACCGTCATTGGCCCCACATAAAAAAACTCTTCAAAATCATAATTTGTGATTGGCCCTATTTGACTTATTTGAGTTCTGATTTATAACAATCCACCATTCATATCAATTAAGATTTTCATGAAATGTTAATTCTATTTTGCAATCTTTATCCACAATTTCCCATGTTGTTTTTGGCCTCCCTATTTTCTTTGTAATCCTTTTACATTCACTCTATATACCAGCCTTATTAGTGTGTATATTGTCTCCAATATAAATGACCAAATAGCCTAAATTTATTTTGGGCTAACTTATCTTCAATAGGACTTGCTATCATTTCATTAATATAATCATTTTTACTACATTCTAAATTTTACATCACATCCATCACTAAATTGCCACTCTACCATACTCAGCATAGTATTTAATGACTCCTTTATCTCACAGCATACAAATATGCATAACAAAGGGGATCTAGTTGCCACTTCTTATTAAAAAAAAATTATTGAGCTCGTCTGAAATTCTCTATTATTAGGAATCTTTTATATTTAACCGCTTCACTTAAATCTAGAGACAATAGGAATGCAAGAGAAATTTCAAATGGCCTTAACTCAAGCCATATCCTCCATGATTAATGGCCGGAGGCTATGATCCGAGCCTCCAGGCACCCTCATGTGTCTAACCACTCGACCCTGCACTGTAAGGCAGATGCACTCAGACCTAGGCTGCAGTACCAAAGTCACGGGGAGAGACACACGCACACACACACACATATATATATATATATAGATATAGATAAATATATATATTTGTGTGTGTGTTGGTTGGGGGAGGGGGTGGTGGTGTTGCAAGTGTGTCAAGCCGACTTGTGAGCCGGTTGAATAAGTGGCTCATGAATTGAGCTCGATGAGCTAACAAACAAAGCTCAAGCCAGCCCCGACTCGACTCGTTAGCTCGTGAGCTGACTTGCTTAAAAAAATATTAACATAAAATATACTTAAATTAAATTAAATTTTGAAAACTTTTTCCATAAGATGTTAAAAATGTTAAGAAAATAATATTTTTATTGTAGATTTGGAGATTTCTTATTAT